ATTCTTTGAGCGAGGTACAAACCAGCCTTCTGAACACCTGACCTGTCAAAAAGTTTCTTTTTTAACTCTTGATAAAGACGATGGGCTCCAGGGCCCCACGGACCCATCGTTTCGACCCCAAACGGCTCAAACATGTAGGTATTACTTATACCTGAATATTTTCGCCGTTTGAGGCTTTCTGCAGCAGCGGCGGCTACACCCGCCTCAAGACATGTTCGTGGAAGATGAGTTGGCGCCAAAGTATCAACGCAGGTGGCATCCCATACCAGGGGTCGACCCATCCTCCAAGGTACCAAAGACATCCCATCAGGTCTCTTACCGTCGTCGCGAGTCAGCTCATTCGGTTCCAGAATGGCTGGCACTGACGCCGTAGCAAGAGCTCGACGGATGATATCATTGATGCTTGCATGTCGAGAGATACGACCAGCACTTCTGCTACAAGATAAGCCGTGATGACCTAAAGAGTCCACCGTTTCACCGCAAGGGCAAAGATGTGGGAGATTACAGGTTGCCCCCAGGCGAAGACAAACTGAAAGGCGAAAAGTTGTATTATCTAGAAGTGTCCCAACAGTCGATGACGGCAAGACTTGTAACCAAAGACCGGATTCCCACTCAGCGACAGCTAAGAGACGAGCATGCTCTGCAGAATTGGCAGACGTGTTTAATAGATTATTCCGTACCAATTTACAGAGCGGCTCGTCCCAATATTTTTGAGCTGTCATTACTGTTGGAAAATCACTTCCAGATAATATCTCCCAAGCAGTTTTTGCCTCGGCCATATTGGAGATAGCAGCAGCTGAAGATGTTTTAGACAATATTTTTTTATTCAGGTCATAGGTGCTATGGACCGAAGATAAAAATGCTGGAAGAGCAACACTAGAAATTTTGCGTAAACCTAAATCTCCGAAGCGTATAGGAAGAGAAGCCTGGTCCCAAATTTTGTCACTAATATCGATATTAAGTATAGTGGAAACAATTTCTTTTATTGCTTTGTCCATTGAAAGGGTAAGGTTTGTGTGTTTCCAAAAAGGTGCTGAACGTAAAACATAGGTAAATTGAGGAACAAACAGACAATAACGCATAATTGTGAAAGCCATTTGATTATCAATTTTTAGTAAACGATCAGCAATTGACTTAAATTTTATTACTTTTTGTTCAGTGAACTGATTGAAATATTCATCACAAATCGGAGACCCTAAAAGTGAAAGTGACTGTTTACATATAATTTTTATGCCCGGAGCTAGAGCATTAAATTTAGAAATTATGGATTCTTTTTCATTGACTGTACTAGGAATATAGAGCTCGCATTTACTAAAATTTAACCCTAGGCCACAATTTTCTAAATTTTCGATTAGATATTTTAGATCTGAAAAAACTGATTCGGCTTCTCCTCCTAACGTACCATCATCCAGATACCACACATTTAATTTAGAATTTAGATTTGAAATAATTGGATGAATAGCTAAACCAAAAAGTGCCGGCCCAAGTGGGTCACCTTGTTGACATCCTACGGAAGAGGACAAAAGGTGGTTTTTATAAATCAATTTCGAAGGTGATCTATAGCATTGCCATAAGAAATTGTATATAGATGGTGTTTAGTCTTTTATTTGTGTCAACAGGGTGGACCTATCTACCGAGTTGAAAGCATTTTTTACATCTACCTTCAAGACAAGATCTTTTGGTTGAATATCTAAGAATGTTCTAAGAGAATGTATTGCCGCTTCACAACCACATTTTATTCGTCGAAGTAGTTGCTAAGCGTGCTACGAATTGACTTACAACATATTTTAGCAGCAAGACGGCGAAAAGTAGAACCTACCGCGATTGGTCGGATACCACCATCTTTTTTCTTAAGAGCGCAAAGATTCGCACCATAGAGAATATCTACAATCGCGGTATGAACGTTACCTGAGAGCATTAAATTTATAAGTTTAGTTAATTCCTTTAAGAGGCCTTCACCAGCTTCACCATTGTTACCACTTAAGAGATCTTTTAGGTGTTGAGGCGTCAGACCATCTAGTCCACCGGCAGAACCACCTCTAAAGGAATTGACTGCATCCAAAACATCGCGTGATTCTGTCTGTAAAAAAGCATCAGAAGAAATAGGAGGGTTTGGAAATGTAGAATTTGGTCTTGATGGAGGATGTTTGCTTTCAAGGGCTATAAGAGTTTCTGGAATATCTGGTGCGACAATGTCATCGGAAAATAATAGTCGAGATGCGCCTTTGATATCACCTTCACTTATTTTGGTTTCTACGTAATGAAATAACGATTTAGGTTTGTTTCTATTGGGGTAATTTGACGGAAAGTGTATATTTGTCTTCTGACAATTTTCTTTGATAATAGCTGTTAGCGATTTTGGGTTGTTAGTATGATCTGGACAAGCGTGAAGAATTTTGTAAGCAAAGGTGAATAGATGTTCCCAGGCTTCAGGAGTATTTTTCAAATTGACTTTTTTAATTGTTTTTGTCAATTCCTCGGCAACAGCAATACGTGCTCCTCGAGGAATTCTCCTTATGATGGGAATCGAGGACTTCAATTTTGAAATTATTTGCCAAAAAGGTTGTGATAATGTATCAATATCATATGTTTGCCGGATCGGATTATGTGATGATTGATTGTTTGGCTGTGCTAATTCTTTGTGAGACCGTGATAAATGTATTTTCAGACCTCTGGCCCCTTTGAAGTAGCGAGCTTGAGAACATCGTGGGCATTGAACTAAATTTTCCGATGAAATATCAGATACTAGATTACCTTGGTGACCAAAAACTGAATTGCCTGGGGTATTGCCTGCATTGTCTTGACTTAGAGACATATAAAAAAAAAAACAACAACAACTTATATAAAAACACAAACTTAAAACAACACTGTAAAAATCACACTTTGTAAAATTTGTTTATATTGTTTGTTTACAAAAATGACACGTGAGTGAGGGCGAATCAGTTTATATTGCCGATGGAAAACACCAATCGGGGAGCATCTTTTTGACATTTTGTCTGACATTGGGCTGATGTCTAGGTGACTGGCATGGCAGTCATCGGTCACAAATGATATGTTTTATTTAGACTCGATACTCTCACAAATTCCCAATAATTGTAGTTTAGTTACTTTTTCTGAAAATATGCGCAGAGCGGCGGCGGTTAAAGTTGAGCTATTGCACATTAGTTTCTGTTGCCATAATATCGAAATTTTTATCAATTTTTTTATCAATTTATTTATCAAATTAAAGTGTGTGCATATCTTTTATATAATTGGTCTAATATTTCGTCTGATGTATGGCGGACGAAAAGTAGGGCAAGACTGGCGATATCGGTTTTCGTACAAGGGATGCATGATCGCCTTTCTAACCTCTTTTCTGTGTTCTATGAAAAAAAATACGTTGTTCAATCGTCAGATAGACTTTATTCGGAGAATAATTCACTTGTCTGAGAAATACATATATCTGTCACTATAACGGCCAGGTAACATGTTATTCCAGAGATGAACGGTATGTCTATAATGTTTGAAGCACTAAATCTCTTACAGTTTGAGGTTGGGCGCTTGTGCACTAGACTGAATTTTCAGGTCCGGTGATCCGATTTTTTCCGGTCCGAAATGTCAGGCCATATATAGGTAATGCTAGCCTATGCACTAAAAAAATTTACCGTCCGGGATTTTACTTTTCTCTATTCCGGACCGGCTTTTTCAGGTCCGTGATGGCGGCAATGAAAAACGTGTTTACGCTTGTGCACTGCTGTGTCCGCGATCCGGAAAATTCATAAGGAATAGGCTTGGAAAAAAATAATCGATTTGTATAAAATCGATATTTATTTCGGTGATATTGTTAATTCCCAATAAACTTATAATCGATATTTATTGTAGATTATAAAATGCTATATTTTATATGATGATTTAATAAAGTTGGTAATTATCACTGTATATGCTTTGGCAAACTCGGTATAGTTCTAATTTGATCAGCGTATGGTTCTAGTATCGATACTTAGCTAGATTTTAGAATCGTATTAAAAGTATCGATAACTTAAGGTAAGATAAATAAGTGTTGTTACGCTTAGATGCCTAAACAACTGAACCCATCTTAATGGAAATTAATATAGTAAATAGACTTAACTTTAAGAAAGAAGATAGGCTACATTTTATCGCGACAAAATAGGGGATGAAAGTTTGCCCGGAAATTTGTCATTATCAAAATTTTTTTAGACAATTGAAAAGTATAGATAAATATTTGATAACAGAAGTAATAATAAAGAATAAACAGAAGATCAACAGAAGTAATTAAGTGACACTCAATGTCTTTTTCGCGTTTAACTTTATATTGTAATAAAATTTGAAATGACTATTTGTGTCATAGATAAATTAAAAAGAAGAACTATTCTAAGGGAAAAATATTTCTGCTCAAAGAAACTATACCACGCGTGTAAAATTATGCCTATATATAATATAGTCAACTGATCTCGTAAAGAGAAAGTACTGATGATTTTATTTTGGTACATCAACAGAACACAAATTATGATCACACACTTGCTATAAATTAATTTTATGCTAATTTATCTAACAATTACTTCTGCACATAACACTTAACTAGTAAACGTATCAACAGTTTTAACAAATTATTGTTTGTTTGTTAGTGATAGCATCATTTTTTTTTCTATTATTGGTGGTGACGCAAAGTGCCATTAAAGTTAAGAAGAAGAAGAAGGCTTATTCGCTAGATTGCTATCCTAATAATAAATGTCGATTGATAAATTGACAATCACTTAACCGACGAATAAACAGTTAAATAATTTTATTATTTTATATGAGGATTAAAAATAACATCTTATAGTAATTTCCAAATTCATAATTTTAGAATCAATTAATACAAATTCTAGAAATAATAAATAAAGTGCTAAAAAAATATCAAATCTCGCACCAAAAATATCAAATATTAACCAAAACATTCACTTTAATCTCTATATTAACTCATTATTTTCTATTTGTAATGATCAAAATATTAATATAGTTTATATGAAACCAAATTCTATGCAACTATCAATTAAACCTTGAACTCTAGTTTTAATAAAACTCAGAGTATCTGAACTTAATAATGTAATACTCGTTTTTTTTCCTACTTTAATGAGATCGCTATCTTTATAAGCATCCTTGATTAAAGCAGCCTCTTCGGATTTTCTAAATATCATTCCAATAACAATAAGTGCTGTACCGAAAAACATCTCAGCATATCTTTTCAAATCAGCATCTAACTGGTCTCTAGGATATATTAAGTTGGCTTGCATCCCGTAATTGCTTAAAGCCTTGTCAAGTTGATCATGATAATAATCGATCCACTCGTAGAAATGCTTGGATCTGGTTACGTAATCTGTGCAATTGAAAATCATGTAAAGAATATCGCAGACTGGATTAGCTACTTTAGATATTTGGTAATCAATCATGATGCAGTCCTTTATTTCATTATCCTGCAAAAAACAAAACTTTATTATATTTTTAAAGCAGAATAGTAGCTATTGAAAACAATAAAAATTATAGGTAATAGTTAAAGCTTGAAGGATTTCGGAATTATTATTTTTTATTTATCACTAACCTCTAATTTAAACATTATGTTGTTGGTCCAAGCGTCACCTTGCTGGATTACAGAGTATTTACTATTAGCATCAATTGCATTAAGTTGTTTGCCTATTACAGAAATCTTTTTTAGTGCTCCTTGTAGGGCGTCCTTATATTTGTTTTCAGCATTTTCAAAAACTGCTAATAAATTATCTTCTAACTGCTTTATGACTGCATCATGTTCAGGTACTTCTGTTGTTGTACTCCATAGATCTAAAAGTTTATTTTTGTAATAGTCGTACACATCAGGGTTAGATTTTTTCAATGCGTAAGACAAAGAATGATATATGGCAAAATTTTTGAGGATCAATCTCACAGCTTTGTTTGGTAGTGATTGATATTTATCTAACATTGTATAGTCAAGCGGCTTTAAATCTTGAAGTAAAATAACTTGATGTTGTTTTTCTGTGTAGCATCCGTAACATTGAGCGTATCTTAGTTTGTCGTCTTCCGGCACATTAGCGGCCTCTTGTAGTTTCTCAAATGTTGGCAAAACTTCTCCATACATAACTGTTTCATTATTGAACATAACTTCTGTATATTTAATTACAGCAAAAGTTTTCGGCGCTATCTTTGCAACCATTTGAAAATTATCACCATTTTCAACTTCCACTGTTATTCTCTTGACATTAGCTGCAAAATTATCTCCCAGTTGTCCAACTGGTGCAAACACTACTTTATTATTTTTATAACCTCGCTTATTTAGACTATCTCGTATGTATTGACTTTGTTTATCGCTTAAATCTTGCAAATCGCCTTCGAACCTCATAGACGTCATTGCGTTAGACAGTACGAAACTGTTTTAGTATAGCAAAGAGAGTTTTATAGGCACGTTTATCATAGATTTAAAAAAGGTATTAAATAAAGTGTACCATGCGTGTGAGAGCTACATCAGATAAGATAAAGACTTTATCTGTGAATTCAATACATGATGATATCATTGAAAGATAAACTGTAAACAACTTACACAATATCTGTTATATTTATTTCTATTTCATAGTATTAATGAATATCTTATCTTTTAATAGATTGTATTTTGTGCAATGATGGTTGATTCTAATATAAACCTTTCATTCTTGGTTAACCTTCGGATTGGTTATACTAAATTTGATTAGTTTAGAAAAAATCTCAAATAAGTTAATGAGAAAACATTAGTTGTTTCTATTATATTCAGGCACAATAAACAACTTGTCAGCGGTTTATTTGCGTGTAAATTTTGACAAATTATTATATTTTCAGACGACCTTAGATATCATTGATAATACCTTCTTTATAGATATAAATAGATAGGTATTATTGGATAATAGCTACAGCGGTGCATTATTGTACATTATCGGTAAAGAAAGCTTTAAATATTTTATTTTGGTATTACCATAAAAACTTTAGTACGTAAACTGTGATTATTGTGTTTTAAAATAGGATACATAGTAGCAATCCTCCCAAGTAACTATTACTTTAAAATATCTAATGTTCCAATCTGCTACCATTTGTGAATACAATCCCTTAGATACAACACTTTAATTTTAACTGACAAGTCATGATAAGATAAAATAAAAAATACAAAGTTGTATAAATATAGGTCGTTTAAAGATTTTTGCTGATTTATATATTGTCGAAAGCATTATCTGTGTAATAACTATGAATTTTGGTGGAAAGGTTGTAATAGTGACTGGCGCGAGCTCAGGCATCGGTGCGAAAGCAGCAGAGTTTTTCTGTAGGGAAGGTGCCAAAGCGGTACTGGTTGCCACAAACGAAACCAAATTAAAGAATATCTCTGAGAAGTGTCAAATGGCTGGTGGGAACCACATCGTCATTAAGGCGGACGTTTCTAATGATGAAGATGCAAAAAAAATAATCGAGACTACAATAAAAGAATTTGGGAGAATAGACGTGCTAGTCAACAATGCAGCTGTTGGACGCTATGGCAGTATTTTAGATGGTAACTTTATGAAATCATACGATGAGTCAGTCCATATAAATCTTCGAGCAATTTTGCAGCTGACGTGTTTAGCAGCGCCATATCTAGTCAAGACAAAAGGAAATATTGTGAATATTTCTAGTGTAGCATCATTCACTAGCCCTAACGGTACTGTGGGGGCATATGGTTTATTGAAAGCGGCTCTCAATTATTTCTCCAGAACAGCAGCAGCAGAATTAGGATCGTCAGGAGTGCGCGTTAATACTATATCCCCTGGACCAGTTTATACTGATATTATAAAGAATAGCGGAGCCCGTTTTACTTTTGATCAGTTGAAGAGTACTACTTTACTGAACAGGGTATGTGAACCCGACGAAATCGCCGACATCATTTTGTATCTGGCAAGTGATAAAGCAAAAGGCATTACTGGTTCAAACTATGTTGTTGATAACGGAACACTTTTGAAGTAATCAAAATACCGTAGACAGCAGAGCACTATATTTAATTAATTACATATATTTATATATATCATATGCAGCATATTTATTAAGTAAATATCGGTATTTGTCACAATAACTTTTTTTTTTTTTTTTAATAAAGAAACATATTCGCAATAAAATCAAAATAATGTTGACATTTAGTAAGTTTATTATTATTATTCAGTTTATTTACTTAGGTATTTGGTTCTTTTAAATGCAATCATAAAACAAACACGATTCAGCTTGTTTATAAGTATATTATTTAAACCCAAACTCTATACAACTATCGATTAACTCTTCGATTTTAGTTTTAACGAAACAAATAGTATCTGAACTTAATGATGTAACGCTCATTTTATCTTTAAGTGAATTGATATCGGTATCATTAAAAGCCTCTCTGATTACAGCAGCCTCTTCTGATTTTCTAAATATCATACTAATAACAATTAATGCTGTGCCGAAAAACAATTTTGAGTGTCTTTTTAAATCAGCATCTAACTGATCTCTAGGATATACAAAGTTTGCTTTCATTCCATAATTATGTAATGCTTTGTCAAGTTGATCATGATAATAGTCGATCCATTCGTAAAAATGCTTAGATCTGGTTACATAATCTGTACAATTGAAAATCATGTAAAGAATATCGCAGACCGGATTAGCTTCTTTAGTTATTTGGTAGTCTATCATAATGCAGTCCTTAATTTTGTCATCCTGCAAGAAGAAAAATTATATATATAATTTGTAGTAAGTAGTAAATATTATAAAAACGGATATAACTAATACATAAGGTAAGTCTTTCCTTAGATAGCACTTCTAAGTTGCCAGATTAAATCATATTTATTTTGAGTTACTTTATCTCTCTCTCGCTGTTCAAGAAATATCACTAACCTCTAATTTAAACATTATGTTGTTCGTCCAAGCGTCACCTTGTTGTATTACTGAGTATTTACTATTTCCATGAATAGCACTAAGTTTTTCGCCTATTAGTGACATCTTTGTGAGTGCTCCTTGTAGCGCATTCTTATACTTGTCCTCGGCGTTTTGAAATACTGCTAATAAATTATTTTCTATCTCCTCCATCATTCTTTTGTTTTCAGGTATCTCAGCTGATGCCTTCCACATGTCCAAAAGTCTGCTTTTATAACTATCGTATGCATCAGGATTAGATTTTTTCAATGCATAAGATAAAGAATGATAAATGGCAAAATTTTTGAGGATCAACCTCACAGCTTCGTTAGGTAGTGATTGATATTTATCTAACATTGTGTAGTCAAGTGGCTTTAAATCTTGAAGTAAAATTACTTGGTGTTGTTTTTTTGTATTGCATCCATAACATTCAGCGAACTTTAGTTTTTCATCTTCTGATACGTCAGCGGCTTCTTGTAGTTTTCTAAATGCTGGCAATACCTCTTCATACATAAGTGCTTCGTTATTGAATAATAAATCTGTAAATCCGTGAAATGAATTTGGTGCTATTTTTGCAATTATTTGAAAATTATCATCATCCTCAGTTTCCACTGTTATTCTTTTGACGCAAGCAGTGTAATTATCACCCACTTCTCCGACAGGAGCGAACACTACTTTATTATTTGTATAACCAAGTTTATGAAGAACATCTTGTATGAACTGACTTTGTTCATCACTTAAATCTTGAAAATCACCTTCGAATTTCATAGACGCCATTGCGCTTTCAAATTTTTAGAATATAAAACTCTTCTATAATGAGAAAGACGATTATATAGTCATGATTATCGGTAATCAAAAAAATATGTTTGATAAGAAATATAATATGATTTAGATATCATTGAATAAAATAGTATATGATGATATCTTAATAAATAATAGTATATGATGATACGAGATTACGAGTAAAGATTAAAATTAAGTAGTGCTTCTTGCTTAAATCTCATTTGATGGCAGTAGAGTTTCAAATCGATGGTCCTGCCTGGCGGTAATAGCCCATAATGAATAATGCTCTTTCAATCCCATCATACACACAGCATCACCTTGTTGCGAGGTAACCTGGGCTTCTCCACAGTCTATGAAGCTAGATCGACCTTTGACCACGACCTTTTTCGCATGTTCTTGTTGCACGTGATCTACTTTTCGTCACCAGTTATCCTTCAAAAAAAGTTCGGTTTCATTAAGACGTAATAAAGAATCGCAATTGAGTACATGGTTCCTTGGGTTTCTTTCAGTGAGCTCGCGAGGAACCCAAATATCCGACTTTACAGTGTGCAGTTTTTTTAAATGAGCCAAAACTGTTTTTGGTCAATCCTCAGTTCTACAGCTATGTAGTCACTTCTGATATGCCGATTTTACTTCACTTTTACATAAATGGCATCTATTTTATCCATAACAGGTCGACTGGTGTGACGTGCATCTTTGACGTCAAAATTTCCCAAGTGAAAACTCAAGAAACTGCACTGAACTGGTTCATAAACGTCACACATTTTTTTTTCACGGCGTGCATTGCATTTCCACCTTTTTTGTATATTATTTTTAAAATGTATCGATTCACTTATTTTGATTTCCTCATTAGATTCACTCTTATAAAGTCTTATACAGACTCTTATAAAGATGTTATTACAAGTTTATGCATACTGTATGAGAAAAGACTTCTCCCCCAACCTAATATATAACTTTTCTGTATTATTATTTATTTATTTATTATCATTATATTACATTCGCCATTTGTCATAGCGATCATAGGCTAAAATTTAAAGGGATTCTTGCTAGAAGAGAGCATAACGATTTTATTCAGATTCTGTTTGGGATTAGAGAACAAGTACTATGAAATTCCATACAAAACATTATCTTAAATCATAAATCGATACCGTGGCTAATGGGCAAATTTAATAGTCGTATGTTATGGAGGGCTAATCAGTTAATTTTAAGTTATGCAATGATTATGACAGCTATTTTAAAAATTCCTTTTTAATTTAATATTTTAGTCAATATAATGACAACTATAAGAAAACATAACATATGGAAAAAAATTGTACATATATTTTCGTATTCATTATCTACTACTTTTTTTTAAATAAAACGTTACCTATGTTTACTTATTGGTGATAAATTAAACCACTATCAATTTAGTCCTACTTACTCATCATGATGTAGAATTATAATCGTCTGATATACAGTGATAATTTTATCACAGTATATAAGAGGTTTAATAATTATCTAATACTAGTGGCCGCCAGCGACTTCTTCCGCGTTTTCCATAAAATAAATTTTATGGCATCACTTCATTAATAGAAAAGAAGTAGCTAACTGCAAGCAAAGGAAACAATTTCCAGGGGAAAAAAACATGATGGCGTCTTTTTATTTAATAGTTAGTACGGTTTTTATACTTTAAAATGTAAAATTGAGTAAATACCTACAAAATGAATACTAAAATTTCGTGTAACAGTGAGTGATTTTGTGAGCGTATTTTGAAGTGGGACAGGCCTCCCTTTCGTCTCTACGGAAACCTAATCAAATAAAAAAGAGAATTCGTATTGATGATACACGTGGGTGTAAAACGAAGAAAAATTTATCAGTTTTATACTGTTGATAAAAAAATCCCAAGTATTCGTAAGTCGCTTGTAGTTTTAAAAGATAATACCACGAACTGCGGTTGTGCCTATTTAAGACAGCTTTTACACAAGATGAGATATTTCTTTAACAAATGTAAATCTAAGAGACATATTTTGATTGAGAGACCCAGTATAGCTGAATGGCAAGAAGGGTATTTAAGAGCTATTCGGAAATATATCAATGAAAACCGGAACATATATTTTTGGACAAAACCTACGTTAACAGTAGCCACAACTTCAAAATGTGGTTGGCTAGTCGAATCTGAGCCTGGCATTGATGATGATATTGGCAAAGAGCGTCGTTTAGTAATTGTTCATGGTGGCAGTCGAGACGGATTAGTTGACGGTGTTTTAACTATTTTCAAATCAGATTCAAAATGCGGGGATTACCATGGGGATATGAATACCACAAATTTTCATAACTGGGTTAATCACAAATTGAAAAATAAATTATCTCCTAATTCAGTGGTCGTGATGGACAAATACCATTGCGTGAGACCTACAATGTCAAGTTTAAAGAGAGTCATGCGAGATTGGTTACGCGAACATAACGTTGACTTTACACCAGAAAATACTAAACCTGAACTCCTTTCTCTGATAAACTGAACTCAGTCCGAAAAAAATTCCACCATTGACGAGATTTTAAAGGCTCAGGTTATATCGCTCTTCGACTTCCGCCGTATCATCTCGATATCAACCCCATTGAGCTAGTGTGGGCCGATATAAAGAACAATTTAGCCTCAAAATTCCAATCATCATAAGATTGTTTTCTGAATTCACTCCGCAAAAATGCAAAAATGGCAAAAGTGTGACGATCACGTACAAAAAATTAAGAACCAATATTGGAACCACATGAGGTTTCACAATGTGATAGACGAGTTAATCGTAAATCTAGGAAATGAGTCAGATTCTGAGGAGGATATGGGAATTGAAGACATGTCTAGTAGTGAAGAAGAAGAAGATATCGATTAATTTTGTACTATAACGGTGATAATGAAAATATTTTTTTTGTTTGTTTGTTTAGAAATGGTGGTTTGCTTATAAAACTATATATGAATTTAGTTTTGTCTAACTACGAAATAACGAAATAGAGAAATATTACACTTTAAATACCACCATTACATTGATTAAGATAGATTCTGACATGTTATCCTGAGATTTATCTGTCCTTAAATACCTCATGTAGTCAGTGCTAGTCCGCGTACACTATAACAAAAAGAACGGTGTCAGTGTAGTCGCATCATTATAAATTCAAGACTAGAATAATTGACGAACTCACCGCAACTATCGGAGTTAGCTGGTGCTGTCGACGCTTAATAGGATCCTTTATAATTACAAGGTAGTTCAACACGTGCCAACACCACCGTTCCTAATGCTGAATGCACTTAGCTGTTGGGCCACTGAACAGGATTATTTGGTAAACATCCACCCTATAGGACTATCTAGTTATGGTTATGTAGCCATTATACCTTAACAACAACGTTACATTTTTCTTTCATACAAAAATACCTAATATGTAATTTAATTTACATTCCAACAACTACTATTAAAACACACTGCGACATTGGCAAGAAGCTGAATTTATCAATACTGGATGGGCGCGTGACGTCGTCCGCGTGGAAGGTAGCCTAAGTTACTTCTCATTATATAAGCAATCTGTCAGAGAAAGTCCTGTTAAAATCGGTTTAGCGTTTCAGAGATTAGCCGGAACAGATGGAGAGAAAAAAATGTGAAAGATGTTATTTTGGTTTATGTATCTTGTATACATACTTTAATAAACATTTCGTAAAAAGCGGTTTTTAATATTACAAACAGACACTCCATTTTTACTATATTGTATAGATGATATCTGAGATCTGTATGGGCTTTATTCAAATGACAAGTTGATAAATGGCATTAATAGTATTGTAACTTACGTTAAAATACTAGTACAAATACTAGTACTAGTACAAAAATACTAGTTAAGAGTATCCAAACCGATTAAGGATTTGTATTTTAAGTAATATTAGGTTTAAATAATGAGTTGCATTATCTAGTGATCAATATATATATATATAGGCTACTGTTAATAGGGTCCATTTCAAATTGCGGATATACCGATGGATTTAAGCAGATTTACTTACAGTAGGTCCACGGAAGGTAACATATCCCATGTCTTTCAACAGAGAACTGTAATATCAATGTAATGAATGTAAAAAGCTTGAGAAATATTTTTATACCGCTGATTTTGTGGCCGCACATAGTCGTTACAAACTCTCACGGCTTACATTGGGGCACTAGATACGGTGCCCGCGGGAGTCGTGTGCCGCAAAGCATTTCACCTAAATGAAATTGTTAATCAGCTCGACTTTAATGAAATACATCCTTAGGTTAGGAAGACACATCTAGTTTGTTCTATTTGCAGTTCCGTAAATTAACTGATTTTAAAGCAGATAATCAGGAGCTTGAAAGCGTAGTATTTAGCGCGCTCGAACTGCAATATGGAAGTTAAGTAACGTTCGCAAGTGCTCACAAATATTTAATATCAGAAGCTCCGCCGTGTTTCAGTCGCTTATCCACAAATCCGCAATGGGTCCGCATAGTGGGTCATGGTTTATTCTTTCTATTCGTTTCATCATAAGGAAGGCCCTACCAATGGGGACATAATATTCACTATTCGATTTTTTTATAACAGGCTTTTTATAATCAGCTCTGAGCAATAGCTGTTTCGAAGTGCGCCCTTACTGCAGGTTTTAATGGACCAATGAAAATAATGGATTGATAACCTGAGGTTTGCATATGTTTGCATTTTTGCTTAAGCTCTTCTGACTATAGAAATTTAGAACCCGGTTTTGACAATTCACAGTTATTTTGAATAAAAAAATGATATTAAATAAACATGCGAATCCTTAAGAAAGTTATAAATTTCCTTACACAAACAAAAGTAACAGTTAGAGTATTATCCACTGTCCAAGAAGTAGATATGAAAATTATTGTCGATGCACAAATGTCCTACTATTCATACGAATGCAAATGACACCGGCCTATTCCTCCGAAAACTACATTTTTCTCTATTTACGAAATCCAAAGATGTATCCAAAGATATATCCAAAGATACATCTT